CATGGTTATATGGTGGGGATCTCAACTATTTCCAAGTAATACACTTTTTTGGCCCCACCCCTTAGCCCGGGGGGTCAGCCCCACCATTTGTACAATTTTGAATCCCTGCCTCCCATGAATGTTTTCGACCAAATATGATCAATATCCATGGCATAGTTCTACAGAAGAAGTCGCTTAAAGCAATATAGCCAAATAACCCTTTTCGGCCCCGCCCCTCAGCCCCCTGGGGGGTTAGCCCAATTATTTGTACAATTTTGAATCTCCACCACCTTATAATGCTTCCAGTCAAATATGGTTGATATCCATCTCTTAGTTCCAGAGAAGAAGTCGCTTAAAGCAGTATAGCCAAATTGCCCTCTTTTTGCCCCGCCCCTCAGCCCCCTGGTGGGTCAGCCCCATCATTTGTACAATTTTGAATCCCCACCACCTAGGGATGCTTCTAGTCAAATATGGTTGATATCCACATTTTAGTTCCAGAGAAGAAGTCGCTTAAAGCAATATAGCCAAATTGACCCCTTTTAGCCCTGCCCCTCAGCCCCCTGGGGGGTCAGCCCCATCATTTGTACAATTTTGAATCCCCACCACCTAGGGATGCTTCCAGTCAAATTTAGTTAAATTCCAATCAGTGGTTAAGAGGAAGAAGACATTTAAAGAAATTGTTGACGGCCGGACGGCCGGACGGACGACGGACGCAACGGTATGGCATAAGCTCACCTTGGTCCTTCGGACCAGGTGAGCTAATAATAAATGATAATAATTTGAGGTTCTTATATACAGCTTTATCACAACCTTGTTCGTAGGTCGTCTCAAAGCCGTTCACAAATGATTATCCGTGGTTATATGGCCTTTGCAACCAGCCAATATATTTCTCAACTCCCCGGGGAGCATACAGCCAGTGCTGCCATTTCGGCGCTCACAGCTAGCATTCTACAATTCTAGCACTACCCAACCACGTACTCATTTACAGCTGAGTAGACTGGAACAAGCGGAGTAAAGTATCTTGCTGAAAGTTACAACACAGTGCAGTGACGAGAGTCAAACCCGCAACCCCTCTGTGACGGGCCGGCGTCCTACCACTAGACTACCCTGCCTACCTTATGACAACCCCTTGATTGTTAAATTATCTATCTGAGGCACACAATGCTTAAAGAAAATACCTTCTTGCTGCTATTGTTTTTTTCCTGTGGTTGAGATTCTGAATTCAGATCATCACTACTTTGCAGTGTATCTCTTATCACAGCTTGAACCAAACAAGTTGCATGCACCTGTCTGTCTGCAAATAGAAAACAAGAAATACCAGAAAAAAAAGAAAACAAAATGCAGGGTTTTCATCTGTATGGTAATAAGTCTAAAATAGCTGTCATATTTATGACGTTGCTTAAAATGTATGAACAAATTAATAATTGCATGGAAAAGATAAAAGCATTAGTTGTATGGTGTAACATGCGGATTGTTTAGGGGAGGTAACTTGTGTGTTTTGATAGCTTTGTATGTACTATTCCCTTTACTCTCAAGTTTTTAAGTCATTTGTGTGTATATTACACTGTCTATTTAAATTTAAAGTGGAATGTCTTGTAAATAAATGAATATATTTGTATGTGAGAGCTGGCATACAGGAGAATGCAAAATGGCGACTGTTGTCATCTGATGAATTTAATTCCTGGCTACCACAGGGAACTTCAACACCTTAAACTCTGCATGTGCCGTCATCCCAACTTTCAAAGCAGAACAGAATGGAGGAATTGAATTAGAGAGAAAAAAAACACTCAAGTACCAGCTTCTGGCAGAACAACAGCAAGTGAGGGTTCGGTGTCTGCCAGAAGAGGTTAGATGTATTGGTAGGCGGTTACTTTAATTGTGAGCATTGAGACTGCTGTGTCATAGAAGCTAAATGGAAGGCATATCGTATCATAGCATCCAACTGGATATGAGGAGAGACAGAATATGTGACATGGGTCAATCACTAGTAACAGTGCTAGACACACAAATGGGAAGAGAGATGGGAATCACTATTACTTATGTACTGCAGGCGGGAGCAATATACACCTAGCAATGCTGCTCGGGGCATTCATTTAGACTGCAGTGTTGATGTCCTCATTATTTACTCACAAAGTCTTCATAGATGTCATCACATTGGCTTGCCATGAGTTATCAGATCTACCAGGAATAAGGAATTGTTAGTTATAATACAGCCAAGAGGTGACTTGATACATTGGGATTTACCAGATTCTTACAAGACATATTAGATATAAAAAGTATTGAAATGCAGCACCAAAATACAATTTACATACGTTGTCATTCAATAAAGTGAAATATTTCTAGAATTGATCAAAATGGGAAAAGGTACAAGACAATGTGCTTCAATTTAGGTTTTAACTTAAAACAAGAGGCCCATGGTCCTTAACGATCACCTGATATATTTATACAGAGAGTTGATTTTGTTTTTAACACAAACAGAAATATTATTCAGTGACAAAAAAACAATAAAACCACCTTATTCAATATCTAGCATACAGATTTAAGACTAAAAAGTATTTGAAACTAGCACCTCTGATTCTAAACAAGGAAAATGAAGAAATTTTAGCACACTGACTCCTTTGGGCCCCACCCTAAAGCCCTTGGGGGTAGGGCTGGCTCAAAATGTTCAACGTATCAAACTGTCAACTCAGGGTTATAATTCCAATCAAGTTATTAACATGTAATATTCAAAGTATCATTTGCCATTATCAACCATAATAAATTTTGCCCCCCCCCCACCCTCCTTCCCCAGGGGGTAAACGTGAGACCCTAGGATCATAAACCTTAAGACCCTTCCATCTATGAAGAGTGTTTGATTCTACCATATCTGAGTCTTGAGAAGAAGATTTCTGAAATTTCAGTCAATTCAACCCTTTTTGGCCCCACCCAATAGCCCCGGGGGGTCAGTCAGGGCTTATATGTGCATACCATCAAACCGCTATCCAATACTGATAATGCTAACCTAAATTGAATTACCTCCAATGGCAATTCAACAAATGTTGGTCCNGGGGGGGGCAATAGGGGAAATGGAAACACAGGTAAAACCTTTATAATCCTTCTTCTACCATAGGGATTAAGGGATATTATCCTAATTTAGTCTGGAGCTACCTTGGGCAAAAGGGACTTAATTTCGTATAAACAGTGAGTGCCCCCCCCCCCCCCTGGGGGCAGAAGGGAGGGGCCATATAGGGGAAACATAGCAAATCCTTCAATGGCAGGATTTTGTCAAAATTTGGTATGAAGTACCCTTGAGTGAAGGGTAACCAATTTTGTATAAACGGTGTGTCTGACCCCCCTAGAGGCAGAGAGGTGGGGCCCAGTAGGAGAAATAGAGGTAAAACTTTTAAAATCTTTCTTCTACCATAGGGATTAAGGGATTGCATCCTAACTTAGTCTGGAGCATCCTTGGGTCAAGGGGACTCAATTTTGTATTTTAAACATATATTCAGGTGAGCGATACAGGCCCTCTGGGCCTCTTGTTATATATTGCATTGCCAGACGGGGCAGAGGAGGCCGGCATTAATATTAGTATGAATTGACCCAGTGCTTGAAACAAGGGTTGGCAAGCTCGACACAGGAGAATAAGAAATGCAACAGTCAGACCGGGGTTGGAACCAAGGACCCTCCGAACTAGATTGGCGCTCTATCAATTGAGCTTTACCTGGTCGCTGACGATTGACCCAGTCCAGTTCTGCTACACATGTACTGTTCAGGATTTATTTTGAATAATGTATTTATTGTACAATGTATATGCTTGTTTTATGAATGGAACAGCCATGCGTCCAGTGAGAGTTAACGAAGTGGTATCCAACGTAACATTTATGACGTCAACAATCATGCCGATCATGGCATTCATACCATGATGAACGCTGTCTAAATGTTGTAGGGTAATATGTATAATACCTGTATACAAATCAACGATGCCATGAGATGATCATATTCTAAATCTACATCTACATAGTAATGATCACCTTCATCTATTTGAAGAACATGTCATGTGATAGTGGGTGCTAGGCCAAGAGAAAAGATAGTGAAAGGGATTTTTTTTTAAAGTATGGGAGTTAGAAGTGTTTTTTGTAAATGGACAGTTTGAAGCCATTTGAAGTCATGCATGAAGGCATTAAGCCATCCTGTCTATGTGGAGTATAACACATAGATATATGGTAAATATTGGACACTAAACCAAATAAACACAGCAAAACCTATGTGATTTTACCAGTAATGGATGTAATCGGATGTTTGTATTATATATAGTGTTGTTTTTGGAATGAGTTTCATGTTCTTCTGTTATTTGATTGTCACTTTCTTGAGGAAATTAATACTTACTTGTAATTGTGTTAAACATGTCATGTTGAGCTTTACTACAACCTCGAAACACAAAATTTGCGATGTTCCTAAACCAAAAGAGTTTTGACATTTTAGGCTGACGTGTTCTTATCCTAACACGTCCACGTGGTCTACTTTCCTTTTCTGGTTTACATATGATCAAGTCCGAAAGATCCCGAAACGATTTTGATCATGGTTAGTAAGACGTTTCTTAGCATTGGAAACGCACGAGTCACGAAATAGCATCACAGTGACACTGATTGTAAATATAACTTGATGCTGCAATCGCAGCCATAAATGACTCAAACGTTAGGTATATATTTCACCTTCAATTCGATGATTCTTCATTAACTTTGTTTCGTCTGTTCACTGGATACGCATTGAATAAGAGGTAAGTTTTCAAATGTCTGAAGCTGAGAAGTGATTTAGGTTTTACAGGGCTATAATTTGTAATAGATTAGGGCCTGTTTAACTTCCGGAAACAGAACTTCAACTTGTCAGAACCCTTTTTCACTGGGAAGAAATTGACGACAGCAAACAAATTAAAAGAAACATAGTTTCGTCGTAAATAAACTAATCGGAAACTTACGACAGAACATATAAAAACATTACAGTAGGCAAATTGCCTATTGTGTTGTTACTATCTAACAAAATCACAGAGAAATATTAAGATATAAAAAATCATCTTGTCTATTCAAATTGTTAAGTTAAATTGACACCCAGACCAACTAGATCAGTTTCACCGGGTATGTAAGTTGGTAGAGCTTTTACTTGTTTCATAGCTGTTGTAAAATAAATGAAGATTATGTATACAGCCAAAATTACCATATATATATATATATATATATATATGTTGTCAATTAGTAAGTTGTTAACTCATTCACCCCTGAAATCACATAATGAACCATTTCAACCTTTCAATTGGGAGAGTTCAAATGTGTCATCAGGGGTGAATGGGTTAAATTCCATGTTTTCATATAGCAGTGTCCTCTGGCCCCACAACAGATAGCTATATATGCCAAAATGTCTAAGTCTGGTGTTAAGGGCCAGAGGAAACTCGGGCTAAGTAAGTTGTTAGATTAATTTACTCAGATACCTGTATGTGTCATCAGTTTATTCAGCTATTATTTTTTCAAGTCAATTATGTTCAATCTAAAAATGTCTATGAACCAGGGATGTGTATGATCTAAGACGTGTTATGAATTTCATGAAAACTTATAAATATATTTACTGTTTATTTTCAGATAACCAGTGTTATACAAAGATCTCCTGAGAAATCAAACATAAAGAATTACTGACAGGTACTGAGTCAACGATGGAAATAATCAGTGTGATAATATTTTGTGTGATTTTGTATGTACTGTGGAATTACTGTGGGGGCAGTAATAACAGTAAAAAGTCATCCCCATCTTCACGACCCACTGCGACATGTGGTTCCACAACGACAGGTGCTCAGAATAAGCTCTACCCAGACCTCAGTCAGCTCCAGAACAACAGCATTTTCAATATGTTTGGTGGTAGTAGTAGCTATGATGCGATCCTGGACAAGTTCAGCACGCTGGAGGAGGTCCAGGCTGCGATAAGAAAAGCTGGATTGGAATCCTGCAATCTCATATTTGGTAAATATCAAAATCTGATCCTAAATCACAACAATATATCTATGTACACTGGTGCTAATGAAACAGTTGACCCATCCCTCTTTTAAAATATCCACCGAAACAGTTTCCGCTCAATAACTTGAGTAATTTTAAATGGATTAATTTCAAACTTCATAGGAAGGTTCATTGCTATGACAGCTCGGACAAGTTCGATAACCAGAATTATACGCTGGTTATTTACGGATTTATGGCCTTTTGTAGAATTGCCGAAACAGTTTCCGTTCAATAACTTCAGTAATTTTGAATAGATTCATTTCAAACTTCGTAAGAAGGTTCATTTCTATGAAAGCTTGGGATAAGCAAAATTATTCGCTGGTTATTTACAGAGTTATGGCCCTTTGTAGAATTGCCGAAACAGTTTCCGCTCAATAACTTGAGTAATTTTGAATGGATTAATTTCAAACTTGGTAGGAAGGTTCATTGCCATGAAAGCTCGGACAAGCTTGATAAGATTCGATGCTTATATATTATCTCTCCAAAATCTATGCACTTATGGCCCTTTGTGGCAAACTGCTCATTCTACATCTGACGGGCGTATCATGTACTGTCTCGCAGAACTCTGTTGAAACAGAAGTTTGTCCTTAGGTTGGGAACTACATGTATGGATTGCTTGCAATATTTTGCCTTGTTTCTGCATATATTTTTTTAGATTGATCAAGCATAATTCCTGATGTAGAAAATGTACACTATGCAAATTCAATTTCAGCTAGCTGTCTAAAAGCAAGCCCCATTTAATCTAGAACCTTGTGTAAACTGAACACCATCTTATAATTAGTGTCACTATAAAATTCCTGTTTTCATTTCAATTTGAACCTGGGTAATCCAAAACCCTGCTCATTCCAAATGATGCTTTTCAGTTTAGACAGGTTTTAGCAACTGTTCAGAATATATAGGGATTGAAAGGCATTTTTTTAAATTTTCATACCGGCATAAAAAAAACGCAGTTCAATCCAAATATTTACACTATTGCTATAGAACAATTGTTTAATTTTATTCATTTGGTCTTGAATAATTTATTTATTTATTGTGTTTTGTATATATGTGTCGTCCTTTAAACAACATAGGCGGAACAGGCCAATTTAAATAAAATTGGCGCCAATAGTTAACCGTAGTCATTTTAGCGTTTGACGTAGGGGCATTATCCATGTTATTCAAAGCGAAGCGACAAGACTCTCATTGAACAATGTTAATCTATGACATCATAAGTAAACTCCATGTTATTCAAAGCGAAGCTACAAGACTCTCATTGAACAAGGTTAAACGTCAAAATGACGTCATAAGTAAACCATGTGTCAATAAAATGGGTTGCAGTACAAATGTAAATATATTCTGGTATTTTAACTAAGGTGTTTGTTTTCTTAGTTATTTAATTACTAATCTGGTTTGTAGGTGTTGATTACACAGCCAGCAATTTGCAGCAAGGCATACTATCTTTCGGAGGCCGATCCTTGCATGACACTCGCTCGGGAACACCTAATCCCTATCAGAGAGTACGCCTAGTGTTTCAAGTGTTTGTTGCATGCTCATATATTTACTAACAGGCATGTTTATTAGATAAACTATGGTAACAGCCAGGCTTGATATAGGAGAGGTATAAAATTCATTGCCAGATTCATGTTTTGGAATATTTTCCCTGCAAAAACTAAGAAAAAGGTCGGATCAACCGAATTTAATATTGTATTACTGACCCTGAGAGCAGATTTAAAGTGAAGGTGAAGGAAACAGCCAAGTGCTGATGGAAGCTATTAAGTAAATCACTACCTTTTGATTGGCATGCACACCCATGTCACAAACATATCTTGATCACACCCTGGCTGTTATAATAGTTTTGCATGTTTCTAATTCTAATTGCTATTCAATCATAATCAAAGGGACTTCATCATGAGTACTTAAGAGTTTGAAAACTTAAGATGACCTGAATGTGCAATTTGAATATCAGCACACAAAACCACAAACATTGGACTTGTGTTCTCGTATATATATACGAGCCAAAGTTCACTTTAATTATTTCACGCCGTACTTGCGACTGCACCTCAAAAAGACTTAAAAACCTTTGGCTGAACCTTGTCAATGTAACTTTTTTTAGGACCATCTTATTATATTTTTGTATCCTTGTTAGCTGCATTTTTTTTTTTAAATGTTGGTCGTGAAACCTTTTTCATTTGCTTTTAATTTGAGGTTTCCATTTAGATATATATATGGAACATTCAGGTTGGCTAGTTCATATATTGTGCAGGTAATGAAGTCCTTTTAATACGTACATGCTAGCTAGCGTAGATCTGTTTCATGTTCTGCTTTGTATTTTTTGCTTCTAACTCAACCTCTGAAGGTGGCCTCAACATCATAAGACCCTCGTGATCAGCAGACGTTTCCCTAAAAAGATTTGACCTGATGAATGGTCAATGGAGAATAGAATCTATCACTGTTATACATGTAGTTGTTAGTTAGATGTGGTAACTGTAGCTCTAGGTCTGATCGTTTTGATCTGATTTGAAATCATATATCTTATTTTGCAATTTCTGGTGATGTAAAATTCCAAAATAACATATCTGAAATTTGAAAATAAAATAAAATTGATTGGACCTAGAGCTATGATTTTAATACCGCTGCTTAAGTTAGAGATACATGTACATGTCTATACAAATGCAAACCATTTGTTCTCGGCGCTGCTCAGCATGAACAAAAGCATTCAGCCCGAAATGACATAGTCCATGTCAATAGTCTAATAATTACAGTTTGACACACCATGTATAATAATTAGTAATTAGACAAACTTTTGACCTTTGTCCCTTTGACCTCCACAGGCATAGACTACACGGTCAGTAATATGCACTCAGGTCAAAGGACATTTGGTGGTAGAAATCTCCACGACATTGGACCAATGTTCATGAACCCATATCAGCAGGTGAGAACAGTTTTGACACTTTCTTATATAGATTTCTTAAATGTTATAAAAAGAAAATGTTTGCTATAGCTTTCTGTTTATCTAAATCACTGCTGAGCTTCAGTTGAAATTGTGTCATTTGTTTGTCTTTCATTATGAAGGTCAATTAATCACAAAGGCAAATATTAAGTACAGTGAATACATGTACATGTATTAGATACTTTCTACAGTAAAACCCCATTATAATGCCACCATTTGTCCAGAGAATTTTTGGCATTATAAAGGGGTTTGGCGAAATGTATAAAGACAAAATAAGACAATGAGAAAAATTAAGGGCCATTGTAATATGTTGGCGGTAAAGGAGGTAGAAAATGAAACAAGGGGCATTTTAACGAGGTACTACTGTACTGTACATGGTCATTCCACTGTGCATAGCTAAATGAGCACTCACAGGACAAATAGGGATTCTTCTGGGGAAGGATGAATATTAGACTGTCCCGGAAATAATCTATGTATAACTATATTGATGGTTAATCTTTTCAAATCATTACATATCATTAATTTTGAACTGGAAACAGCATTATCTGAGGATGTAGTTTGAGTTTAAATTTAAAATTAAATCTGTATTTCATATCATTGTTTGAAATAAAATAAAAAATCCACTTAAAAGTATACATTTTATGACAATGATTATTGGAGAGTAGTGCTTTGTGATTGCATTTTTTAATGCAGCATCTTGACAATATTTAACAGTTTATAACAAACATAACAAAAGTACGCTCTACACTCATTCATACTAGTGATGATGATCGATTATAATCGAAAATTGATTGGTTAAAAATTTGCCTTTTATCATTCAAATTATCCTTTACAAATCCATTAACTATAAAATCTGTTAATTACTGATCTTTAGCGCCAAGTGTATGCATTTAAATTCACATATTCTGATGATTTTCATTATATGATTGATGGTTAATTAGAAATAACATATCAAATTTCCAGAGGCCGCTTTAGACAGCTATATATATATTATTCTAAAAGATTTTCAACTAATATTTCCAGTCATTGTATTATAACCTTCAATCACTATTCTGTTCCTTATCTCCTATAAAGCATCTTTTCTGTACTGGTATTGTAATGTTTGTGCTATTTATCCCTTAAGAATCCCTGTCCCATTGCACTGTAGTTTTGGTATAAACAGTATCCTCCCCTTAACTTCCCTAAGGATTCCTGCCCCATTGCACTGTAGTTTTTGTATAAACAGGAGCCTCCCCTTTCCTTCCTTAAGGATCCCTGTCCCATTGCACTGTAGTTTTGGTATAAACAGTATCCTCCCCTTAACTTCCATAAGGATTCCTGCCCCATTGCACTGTAGTTTTGGTATAAACAGTAACCTCCCCTTAACTTCCTTAAGGATCCCTGTCCCATTGCACTGTAGTTTTGGTATAAACAGTATCCTCCCCCTAACTTCCCTAAGGATTCCTGCCCCATTGCACTGTAGTTTTTGTATAAACAGTAACCTCCCCGTAACTTCCCTAAGGATTCCTGCCCCATTGCACTGTAGTTTTTGTATAAACAGTAACCTCCCCGTAACTTCCCTAAGGATTCCTGCCCCATTGCACTGTAGTTTTGGTATAAACAGTAACCTCCCCTTAACTTCCTTAAGGATCCCTGCCCCATTGCACTGTAGTTTTTGTATAAACAGTAACCTCCCCGTAACTTCCTTAAGGATTCCTGCCCCATTGCACTGTAGTTTTGGTATAAACAGTAACCTCCCCTTAACTTCCTTAAGGATCCCTGCCCCATTGCACTGTAATTTTTGTATAAACAGTAGTCTCCCCTTAACTTCCTTAAGGATCCCTGCCCCATTATTGCACTGTAGTTTTTGTATAAACAGTAACCTCCCCTTAACTTCCCTAAGGATTCCTGCCCCATTGCAATGTAGTTTTGGTATAAACAGTAACCTCCCCTTAACTTCCTTAAGGATCCCTGCCCCGTTGCACTGTAATTTTTGTATAAACAGTAGTCTCCCCTTAACTTCCTTAAGGATCCCTGCCCCATTGCACTGTAATTTTGATATAAAAACAGTAGTGTCCCCTTAACTTCCCTTTGTGTGTAACTGCAGCACAGATGGTCCAGAACACTTTCATTGATTGGGTACATGTAGCCACAGGTGCTGGACACACTAATAGTAATCTGATGTGTGTATATATATACAATACATGTATATAGTTATTAGTTAAGTATATATATATACATAATATAGCACCTGTGCATGTAGCTCTTTCGGTAAGAGGAATAGTATAGCAATTTGAGGTTCTACGTTCGAATCCTAGTTAGCTATATATGCTGCATTCCTATGATAAACAAGAGTTCTATTGTTGATTATTTTCTTGTGTTATTTCGTCTCTAATTTTTTTCCTAAAAGTCCCACAAGGTATAATTTTCGTTTCAAAAGTGATTTATCAGAGCTATAGTCATGCCGGAAATGTAAGTTTCAAATGCATAGTTTCAGTTTTTGCTAGTGGTGTTGGGATCCTTAATAATCTTTTCTGTACTTATATTTTAATTTAGTACAGTATTACCCTTAGGATAGATGGATTATAAATGTTTCTTCATTAGGAAAAAGATTATTTATCCATAAGAAAAACAATGTAAATTAAAACGTTGCAAAACTGACCTCCTTCCTTGTACCTAAACTAACCTGATTCAACCGGTTTTGGAATTTGGATATTTAAACTGATTCACATTTATGCATTTCTTTTGATCAGTATAAGGAAATGTTTAATTGGTTCAATAACAAATTTTCATGCATTTTCTTCAATGGTACTTTGGTGTTTCACCTTTGGGAATGAAAATAACATACTTTCCTGTAACTTAGATAATTTTAGCAGATTGTTTTATCACCTATTAATTTTTCATGTTAAAAAAAAAGAAAAAAATGTAATGGTATAAAACAGACCGCATGATGTTCATCCTTCAATGTGATAATGTTTGCAGTACTTAGAACTCATCAGTGCGTCTTTAACTCTTAAAGGTCATCTGTATTCTCGGAGAGACACTGGAGCCATTTGACGACGACGGAATCATCCCCGCGTTTGGATTCGGTGACGTTTCCACCAAAGGCCATGGAGTATTCCCTTTTAGAAGCGAAGTAAGTGAAACATTATATCCAATGCTAAATTGTTTCAGCACACTTTATTAAGAAAATGGTGATGTTTTGTTTCACAAATTTCAAGAGTATTTTGTTTTGTTAATGTGAAACAAATTAAAGAGGGGTGCCTTCTGGTGGCTATCATCGATAAGTATTATTTTTTGTATATGCTCATCTTGGTTAAGATACTTATAAATATAATTTGGTAAGATTATTGCATGGTTCTAATATGTATTTTAAACACACAAAAAGTAAGAATTGTTGACATGATTAAGTCAATATATAACAAGGTCACAGTGACCTACTTGTCAACTGTTTGCTACTTTTCCGGCCATTTTTATTATTTGCAGCTTCAGTGTTACACACACAATACATCAAAATTATGGGGGGAAAAATAAAAAAAAATAACAGTTTTGTCAAAAGGAGACCATTTGTGATTTTGGTCCCCCGCTTTTCCCCATTCATATCCCGGAATGATCTCAAAGTACCTTAATTTCATGTCATATCATAATGGCATAACTCCAATGTGATAAAAAAAAAAAAAAAAAAAATGTTAAAAGTTTATTTACTCTTATATTATATACTTTTGTTTGAACTATGACCTTTGACTTTTGACCTTTAGGGATATTGCAATGGTTTCCATGATGTACTGGAAGCTTACAACCAAATAACACCAAACGTCCGGATGAGTGGCCCAACAAACTTTGCTCCCCTCATACGACAAGCCATCGACATCGTGAAGAAAACTAAATCAGTGAGTATGTTTGGGGATTTGAGAGTATACATGAAATTACACGCAACAAGCGTGCCGTTAATTCCTGGTTGCTGTTTCCACATGTTAAGCTACAATTTAATTATTCTGACTACATTATAATAATTTTAAAGGATACCTTGAGCGAACATTTCAGTGGTGTAACATACATGTATGCTTGAATGCTCAAGCATGCACTAACATTTTCAAGATTTTTTTTAAAATTGATCTTTATCACCAGTGAATCTGGTACACTATTCCTATTTTTTTAAGATTTGATGATTTCAATCGAAAGAATAGATCAAAATCAGCCATGTGAAAGTGTTGTTTTGTCCCTAAGGGCATACACACACATTTTATTAATGTTTTAAAGTTTGATTTAAGGTTTGAGCACGCCTCATCTCCCCAATGGAAATTTCATAAAAGTTTGTTTACTTAAGTGAAATTCATCAGTATATGTGAGACCTTCACTCATTCACCCCTGAAATTTCATAATAGACTATTCCAACCTTTGAATTGGAAGAGTTCCAATGTGTCTTCAGGGGTGAAGGAGTTAATGAGCAAAAATTGAAAAAAAATATTGACACATTATCAGGTGATGTTATGGATTCATCAAAATGTACATTGTACAGTGACAGCTGCAAGGTCTACACTAGTAAATGTCTGTTTCATAAATTGATGACCTGATGATACTATCAATTAATTGTTGTGTTTTGAAAAAAAAGGATGCATTTTCTAACGTTGTTTTATGTTTATTTTCATTACAGTACCACATCCTGGTAATCGTAGCCGATGGTCAGGTGACCAATGAACAAGACACAATCAATGCGATCGTCGAAGCTTCAAGATGGCCACTTTCAATCGTGATGGTCGGTGTTGGTGATGGACCGTGGGATGTCATGAAAGAATTTGATGATAAAATTCCAAACAGGAAGTTTGATAACTTCCAGTTTGTAGAATTTAACAATGTGATGACCTCATCTAGAAATCCCCAAGCAGCGTTTGCACTCCATGCTTTGATGGAGATACCTGACCAATACAAACTCATACAGAAAAATGGGCTGCTCAATTTCTAATCTGTTTGTATAACTTGAACTTCTTTGTATGACTGCTGTGGAACAGACATAACTGCCTTTTTCGACTGCTGTATGACTTCTGTGTGACTGTTGTGTGACTGCCGTATGGCTGTCGTGTGACTGCTGTGTGACTGTCGTGTGACTGTCGTGTGAATGAGAGTTTGCTACATTTCATATTAATTTAGGATCCTTGTACCACTGTAAATAACTGTAACTAGGAATCGGAAAGTTTGTTTGACGAACATGGCGAAAAATTTAATCAAACATTTCTAAAGAGAAATTCATAACTAGCAGAACACAATACAGCCAGTGTAACTAACAGTGCTTCCTGATGGGCCGAAGGTTGGCCCAGTTCTGCTGCAGTTATACCCGAACAAAATTAAGGGGGGGGGGAGGGGAGGGGAGAGGGGGCGGTCTGTTTGTATGAAACACTACGATGTACAGTATAATTCACTATTGTTTTGGTCACTGTGGTAATGGACGTATCCTAAAATCATCCTTACAAGTCTTTTTTGGTATTAATTATCAATTTCCCATCATTTGTCAATCAAAAGGCGATCCGTACTGGAAATATTACATGATATACATTATGTATGAGATAATGTATCTATTTTTCATTGAATTTTTTTATCTCCATTTGTCACTTACTGGTAATAGTGTAGAATTTATAGATGTTGTTCATACATGATGTTGATAAATCAACTTTTTGTACATTGCAAGGATTTGCTTTCATTTTATCATGAGTTATCCTGCAACACAATTCAAACTCTTAACGATGAATTTATGAGGAGCTGAGACTAAAAAGTCCAATATACAACAAGAAATTTTTGAGGCTAAAAAATAGTGGAAGGTCAGGATGGTAATGTTTCGGAAAAATCAAAAATCATCCCCAGACAGTTTTGTCCAGTGTTGCTCCGCCTGCATGGGGGACTATACATTGGTGTCAGTCTCAATCTAATCATAAAGTACTTTATGTATTAAAGATTTTCATTAACTCTGCATTTGAAATATATAAATACATTTAATTATCATGCTTCAGATCTCTCCCAATTATCAGACCAATCTTGTTACCATGTTTCAGATCCCTCCCAATTATCAGACCAATTCTTGTTACCATGTTTCAGATCCCTATCAGTTCTTATTACTGAGGGGTTAGCTCACTTACGCTCTCTGCACAGTGAGTAGAGTATGTATACTTATTTTGTTATAAAGTTTAAAATGCCTTAAAATAATCCCAAAGATTTTGTATACATACTTCACCTTTACCTGTGATATCTGTTATATGAAAAATATGTTTAATGAAATAAATTTGATTTCTTATTATTTGTTGGGTTGTGAACTGACACAAAGTGATGAAGGGGAGCTAACTCCAACTTACCGACACACTTACAATATCAATCGGGAATTAAGAACAGTCGGCACAATAGGGATGGCGATAAGGGTTTAGAGAGCAAAAACACAAGTTCAATGATCCTCTTCTGAAATGTTTTCTAGATCTGTAAGATATTGAGGTTACCCTTAACAATTTCACCCGTATGTAACTTCAGTAAAATCACCCATGCATTAATTTGGACCATTGTGGTCTACAGTGGTGAAAGGAATAATTGACGTCACTTAGCCTAATGTGATACCTTCAAAACACCTCCAAACGACATCTGTAAGTTTGGCGGATTTGTGCTCAAGTTTCTTGAAATCATTCTAAGGTGATTGGAATCAAACCCCGAGGTGGCCTGACCGACGAAGTCTTTAAACGACATCTGTACGAATCCTTTGAGAGGTTTGAGCAAAATTTTACAGAAAGAATTCTTTGTCCACGACGCCCCACATTAGGGGACACCAGCTGTTGGTCACTGAAGATGCATGTATCAGATTTCAGCTTATTTGAAACTATTTATTCATAGAAGGATGACGTCATAATGTTTATTTTAAGATTATTATTTGCTCACTTGTATGTTCCTTATCAGCCAGCCCGAGATCTGTATCAGTCTGAGGGCTACAGGCCCGAGGGTGATATATAAGGGGTATGATATTCAATCGGTCACATTACGTCACCTGTTTATCATATAGGTTTAATAATATTTGCATAACGTTTAACACAAATAGAAAGACAAAAGTGAGGTGGCATTAAAATATTTTAATATAAAACAACTGGTATTCAACAGATAACACAAGGAAACAGCTAGTACTCCGATATCTTATAAATAGTCAATATTATCGTCAAAAAATATTCCCGAACTTTTGCATCGGCTTTGGACTTATATTAATATTTGAATGTAACATATATACAATAACAACATGTCGACGTAAGGTTTTATGAGAGACCTATAATTTTTGTGATATAAATGTTTCTATTTTATCAACCCTTCAACAGAGATTAACCTTGCGGTCTCGGTTGATACCGTTAATCAGGGGTCGACAAAACCATGCATCGACTCCATTAACACACTGTAATAGGTTTTTTTTATCGATTTATTGTCATGCGTCAATCTGATTAAAATGATAAGTTTTAAACTTCAAGCCAATGGCAGAATTGACCTGGCAGTGACGTCACCAAGTTTTGTTCCGCAACTTTTGCGTGTTTCACAACTTTGGGTTAAAGATGCTTAGATGACATGAGAAATAATAAACAAATTACATGTATAACTTTGATAATATAACTCACACAATCGATTTAATTTTTGCCTTTTTCACTCTTACTCGAAAAGACAATATATAAAAAAAGATTGGTGGCGTAACTGTAAGAACATTTAAATATCATTAAAAAAAATATGCTATACAATGTACCTAGTCCTCTATGGTTCCAAAACAAGACAGTAGAGAACTCTCCTACCAAGCCTCCATCGTTTGTCTTCTTAACGGTTCATTTCTAACAAGCCTTCAATCTTTCTCAAGTTCTGTCTGGACGGCATTACAGTTGCTTTTTCCAAGCTTTCGTTATTTTGTTACTTGTGCGTCAGTTTACCAGTGAGTCTGACTTCTGCTTAATTTTAGATGTTTGGTCTTACACGACGCTATTGTACATGCATACATATTTCTTTGTCAAACAATTTTATCCTATCCAGCTAATCATCGAGACCTGACACGTTATAAATATACTTAAAAAAAACATGATTGCAAGACAAACAAATATGTCTTCCGTTCCATGCATGTACATGAATGTAGCACCTACAGCAGTCCACAGGTCCGTGAAGGAACGGAAACATGTCTCCATTACGTACCTCAGCAAAGCATGCGGGTTAAGCCGAATGTTTAAATGTCCAATCCATTTTATTTGTTGAATATTATTATTTATTTCCTCCAAATAAAAACATGAAACCGTATTGCACAATCACGTAAATGTTCAACTCGTGCGTTGACCATCATCCAGAAGTCTTATTGTTATCGACGTAAGCGGTTGTAAAGTCGTGCCCTAGGAATTCCGTACATGAAGTACTGATGAGAACAGAGACTGCTTTCGCCACCAGCCTTAGTTTCAAAGTCATTTGTGCACTTGGTCGTTTGGCACCCTCGAGGGCGATCAGCCACTTCCCACCTTCTCATCCCTCCGTTGCATTGATTACTTTTCAGAGCAGAGTCGACCAACTGTTTGTTCATTTCCATCCTCCAACACACCCACTTCCGGTCACGATTACAACATAAACACTCATCATGTCCAGAAACAATAGGATCCGGAAATGACGTATCCATGTTAAATGGTGGCGACAAATTATGCCTACGATGTAAAACGGTCAGTGCGCGGATACTTCTGCTCAGGACATGAATGTCAACATCGTCATAACTTAAATCTTTTGAATCAGAGGATGTAGTTGTTGAACTTTGGTGTGAATATGTGTCTTCTAAAGAGGTAGTAGTCATGCGCATAAATTGGCCTCGGACACGTGTTCCTGTTAATTCCTCATCACTTCCGGTTCGGTTTTCCGAGTAAACTGACTGTATAGTGGAATAGTGGGGTTCCTCGTTGTCCTGGCAACGGTTATCCATTCTGGTGACAGAAAACACAATCTGAGTTATATTACACAAAATGTATGTCTACAGTCAGTAAACGCAATGACCTGGTAGTGGTATACAGTGGTTATTTTGCGTCATGAACATAAAACAGTACAACGTTAGTTCTGATACATCTTAATCGATCCAACCAAGAGTATAGAACCTCATAGCTACTATCTGACAACATAACAAGAGATGGCAAGACGCAGTCGAAAAGAATGCTCATTATTTCTATGTTCTGACATCGACTTTGTAGGGTGCTGATCATGACGTGAACACATGGCCCGCGCTGGCGGCCGGCGATCGCTACCGGCGCCAATGGCGAAACAGACGTGTGATCAAGTTCAATAGTTATTACATTTCCATTGTATTCCAGATTTGAATATTCAAATGTAACATGGCCTTATTTTGTTCACTAAAGACATTCACATGAAAACGATTTGATATTTAGGATTATAATGTCAAAGGTTCGACTAAAATGTCCTACATAAGGAAATTCCCTAATTTCGCCATTATTGCTTTGCTTATCTCGAAGCGGTTGTTACATATTACAACATCTGCACCGTTTAGGAAACCAGTGTACCGTGACGACTTTTATCTAGTGTAATAGATCAAAACCATTAGATTGGACACGTCTTATGTCACATATATCATTATAGAGTGCAGGATCTCTCTACGGTACACACGTGAGCGGTCGACTAGCTAATGGGCAAACATAAATATAAACAACGGACACTTCACTGATGCTTGGGGTCAAAAAGGTGGAGAAACAGAAGGGGTGATGCATAAAACTAATACTGAATGTTGGGACTGTATCGGTGTTGCCCACCATGCTCTCTGATATTCAATCATCTTTTATTTAAGAATTTTTGCTGAATCGAATGCCTTTACAGAAGATTGAGATCAAAAGAAAACCAGTGTCACGCAAAGTTAAATACTCGATCCTAATGGGAAATGCCCTCATTATAACTGCGTCGTCACACAGAACGGAATAATTAAGAAAGGAGGCTGATAGGATAAGTTAATCATTTAACATAATTTTGCTACTAAAACAGCGGGAAATATTACAAACCAAATGAAATATACTTTTATAGAATGGGACCTGGTTAAATGTCCAGTTATACAGGGTTCTTTATTATGCAGGTTCAGATAAATAAGAATTGAGTGTACAGACGGAGGTCTCATTTAAACATGTTTCCATAGTAGACAGGTTGAAGAAATCAAACGCATGTCTGCTTTATACAGGTTTCCAGATTATACAGATTCAGCTTAAAAAGAAATGTACGTAAAGACGGATGTCTGTTTTATACATGTATCCAGATAAAACAGGTTCAAATAAATCAGAAATGTATACGTGTACAGACGGAGGTCTGTTTTATACAGGTTCCAGATTATTCAGGTTTAATACAGACATGTTACTGAGAACATCAAATATGTAATACACGTATACCAGTATCGATCTGACCTTGCGTCTAAAACATGACTAGACCGATTTTGCGACTCAGATATTTGAGCCATGGACTCGTACTTTTCTATGGTTCTCATCAACATTTTAGCAACCCGCCATACTTCTTAGAAAGAAATGTCCAGTAAATGGGAGTCATCAAATTTTGAAAAGATGTTCAGGACTTGACGGAAAATATTATACTAAAATCACTATATGCTATACATGTATTTTTGTATTACAGTACCTGAAATGGATACTCTGCAACTGCCACGCAAATGCTTGTACATGCAAGACGCTAGCAACGTAATATATATATATATATATATATATCCTCTGCTCACCCTATATCTCTGTATAGAAATACTTCCTTCCTCTTGTCAGTATACAACAATGAGCTCGTTACCTATACATGTATATGTTGACTGTTAGATCGATCACACTCTTCAATATTGCGCAACGGTCATATATGCTTACGGCAACTTGATTCCTATATACTGTCCGTTCGTAAAATAGGAAGTGATTTGACGGTAACTTTCCGTCAGAGTTCTACACTTTGTGATCAATTTACAAAAGTCTGTCATGTGGCATTTCTTTAAATAAGTTTCCAATGAATCATTAAGAAATTAGTTTAGTTTTACACTCGTTCTATTACCCCTATCTGTAATTAAAAACCTGTGTCATTAGTTTTCAAGCAATGATCAAGAAATGAGTTAAATTAGAGTTATTCATACGTTTCATTTCCACAACCCAGTTAACATGTGTGTGAAAAATATTGTTTGTGCCTTTCATTTTTAAATACTTAATAGTGATCTGTAATTTTTGTAAGGGTTTTCAATAAAGTCCTGGGCATCATGGTTTTTTTTCATAAGTATTTATGAGTCTCATAACTGAAACACGTAATGAGTATTTCACAATAAGGGCGAATCGAACAACGGGAAAAGAAAAGTCCGCACTCAAATATCCGAGTCTCAAAAATCACTGATAATATCACAGATTTGGAAAATGTCAAATTTTGGGGATATTCAATCTGACAATATCTTCTGTTTCCCACTGTGATACAATGTACATTGCATATGATGCAGCATTTCAACATGGAATATTGCAATGTATAATTAACATGAAAGGATACACTGTCGTGGAAATCACGTGCTTCGAGTCATATTGATTTGATTTAAACAGAGACGTATAATGTATTGTAGTATACGTCTCACATTTCAACGTATTCTATTTGCAAAAATACAAAAGGGATTAGACACAAGTTATAAAACTTAAAGTTCGCCTTCTCCCTTAAAGCAATAATGATGAAATATACGTATGGCTGCACAGTAGAAAATATTGATGACTGTACATACAACATGTTAAATTAAATGAACACTTCAGTTTTAAATATGAAGAATTTTATCGTAGGATGCAGCAACAACTTACAAAACTTGCTTCACGACAAAATCAATTAAGGGTGAGTCTTACATGCATATTTTGATTGCAATATTGAATCGAGCAATATACCACTACGCAGACACAGAGGCGTAAAGCCATATCACGGAGTTAGATAATATGCTATCTAAGACCGTGGCCATATAAATGTAGTATACTTTGCTGACAAATATTGCAATGCATTGCGATTTCAAAAGCATATTGCAATATGTATATGTATTACAATATATTGCTGATTACAATATTAATGCCCGTCTTTAAAAAATATACAATTTCAATCTAGACTTGTCCTTACCTTTACACAATGTATCGGGAGACCCTTTGGAATTCAATGATGTCGCTTTCTCTGATGTCTGTAATAACAGTTCAAGGTCAAGTCTGGTTCTGCTCACTGCTGGACGAGCATGTTGGATTTAACACGTCAGTACAATATACAGGTAACATGATGACGCCGACCTGTACGTTACCTGTCATTAATCCAATATACAGGTGTGACAGATTTACAGGGAAGTGTATGACAGGTATATTATGATAAGGGAGGATGTTGGGGTTCGTCTCCCCCAATAATCAGACACCTGGTGGGTCAAACACAGGTGTAGATAAGCCGTAAGTAACGTTACCACATGCACCCTCCCCTCTCCCCCGACAAGGTTACATTTTCTCCGACCTTTTGAAATATTGGTTAGCTTTAAAATATAATTTGCCGAATATACATGTAATCAAATCAATAGACTGTTTTTAGTTTTATTATCTGTACATATGTTAAAGGATTTAAAGTTTTATTCTAGTAGTGTCTCTAATTATCTAACAAAGAACAAATAATTTCATGTTTTCCCCAAAAACATCGATATTGATATTATAATCAAGCTAACTATGCTTTTTATTGCAGTGGCCTGTTTGATTACCTCCCATACACCTTTAATAGATAAACAAACAATACGATGTTTATTGTCTGGGTTTGTTGTGTCTGATCGCGACCTTTGTGTCGGGGCTTCACTAACAACAACAAACATCCCCTCCCCTCGATTAAGTGGGCGGAGTCAATATATCGTTGTGTGTTTATCTCCTCCTTAGGGATAATGATTATCCTCCGACTGTCTCATCAGATAAGTCATTAGTCTACACGTATAGATCATAAAGAAAATGGGCAACATGCGTAGTTTTAGATACCAATATTCAAGACCTTAGATATATATATTTTAGATATTATTTTTCAGTTTGGGAATAGGGGTAGGGGGTTATTATACCATTTATTTTTCATTTTCAACATGCATCTTGCTTGTTTTCCCCCAATTTATGGTTATTTTAACAATTCTGCAATATCGCGCTTTTTATGCTATTCTCGCTCGTCATTCCTTGAGACTTATCAAAAACCATTTTTCGTTCTAAACCGTTTCATTAAGGATGTACTCTTCTGACGTTTCAGTCACGTTCAAGTCTCGTTTTGATCTGGTGTAACGGGTTTTTGTAATATTTAACAAATTATGATAGGTTTAATAGCAAACACAGATCTGAAAAACATGTCAAAAAACTAGATGTCTGTTGTGTGTAGAAATGACCAATTTGGCGGCCATTTTAAAAAAGTGTATTTATGTGAATTACGCTTCACAAAGGGCAAAATTTCAACTTTTTTTGACACTAGATTAATCACTTAAATTGTCATTGTGTCACCATTTTTAAATGTAGCAGGTTCAATTTTGCTGTACAACTTTATAATGTTCAATATGATTAAAATAATATGCAAAAAAGTGGAAAGTTATATATTATTGGTATTTTTTTTTTACATATTAGGGTAACTGAAGCACTTTTGATTTTTGACCCCGAAAAAGGTGAAAAATAACACAAATAATAATGGGACAAAAAAGAAGCACACCGACCCAAAAAATGGTGAAAAAATGTGCATTTTTCATTAAAAAATAAGGGGTAGGGGTAACTAAAATCGCTTTCTGAGTAAAATGAATAAGATTAAGAAATTTTACTTCTATAATTTAAAAGAAAATAATATTTTTATCAATTCTACAAACATTCATACATATCTGATAACACACTTGGAAGAAATGGTATGAATTTGTTCTGTAAATGGTCAAAACCCGAAAATTCACCTAAAATCACCTATTGTGTTAAATTGGTATCTTTGACCGATCATAGCACGAAAACGAACACACGAACATATATATTTTTTTTGCATTTTCTACTATGCCATTATCTCCTTTTTCCAAAAATCAATATAAGAAAAAAAGTGTAATGCAGGATTTTTTTGACCTCTCAGATGTGTACATCCTTAAGTTAATATTAATTTAAAACAAGGAAACTGCGCAATCATCACAATTCATGCACTATTTATTTTAATATATTCTTGTTTTGCAATGTATTTCATAAATACTTGAAAAAACTAGATAAATAAATATTTATTAACTAAAAAAATTAAGTTATGGAACGTACTCACAGATTGAACGTGTCGACGATCATTTGAAAGTTTTAAAACAGTTCGATTATAAATACTTATTTGTTTTATCTCCTACATCTGCTCATGCATGTGCGTATATATATATGCATAGATGCGTGTAACATAATTATACTCCAAGACTCCTCAAGCTCATTTGGCTAAATCATGCAAAATTAAGAATAACAGGGACTTGAGAATATATTACAGCTATATTTGGACCTAAAGATTTAGGGATTTAGATAAACTTTCGATAATGATATATATATATATATATATATATATACGATTTTTTATAATCGTCAGGGATGAAATTTTTACCTTCATGGGCTCTTATACCACAAAATGTATACAATAACTCTGAACACATTTTAGGTCCAAATATAGCTGTAATAAAATATCAGGCCCCTGTGTTTAGAATCAGCGCACGTACAACTTTCCAAACGAAAGGTAAAAGTAATCGATAAGTGGGGAAAATATATTTTTTCAAGATGGCGACGCACTGGTTGCAGGTCCACATTTGCTAATTTAGAACGTATGGTTTGGGTTTTTACTTTAGTTAGACCTAATTGTAAGTATTGCAATGACTTAGTTTTAATTCTACCTCTTTAAATGAAACAAATCGCATCAATGTTCCGTTTTTAACGGTTAAAATAATTGATTCGGTCGATCTTCCTGTCATGATTACAAACGTCGTCTGCTACAATATACTCACTGTAATGTCCATCCCGGGAAGTGGGGTTAGAGAACTGTTCCGTTGCACCAATCTCGCTTAAAATTTGCTTTATGTATACTAGTATATGTATTTAGTGCTTTGCAGTGACCTTTCTCCAAATATTAATATATAACTTATAAGATACAGACAGTCACATGAGAGCTCAGGGGGGATTGAAAGCAAACTTCAGTTCAATTTCGAAATGTTACCACCACCCTTGCCGCCTTATTTATTATATACAGTGATCCATCTACAATTTATTTTAATGAATCCTTTTCAACTGTACAGTATTGCCAAAAACAATGAGTCCCACAATGTTAAATTTAGCTATTTCCAGATTTCTGTGAGACCCATACAAATTCTATGAGTACAGGACTCGGGACTCGCATGTAGATTTATCACTGTATAAGCTATATGTATTTAATGCTTTGCAGCGACTTTTCTCCAAATATTTAAATGTTTAATACAGACATTAGAGCTCTGGGGCGATTATATAGTGAAGGAGCAAAAGGAACAGGTAATGAATGATACAACCATGAGCGAAAAGAAGATTTATTTTTATTGAATTTCTATGGTGAAGACAATTTTACTTTTTTCCCCAGTATTTTAGCTATGGATAGAATCTTTGGGACCCCGGAGGAGCCTTTATTCAATGACAAGTGCACAGCTGTGACTGCGGATATTCTTCAGGAATGGCTTATTTCCCTAGCCTCTATAAATAACAAGACAATAACAATTTCTTCACCACAAGAGGTAAATATATATATATATTAGAAAAAAATGCATTTTACTTTCCGTTTGTAGAGTCTACTTGCCTATGAAATTGAATTGTGACTCTTCCATAGCTCCCAGCCAATTGCATTATAAATAAGAAGTCCTATGAAAGCAATTTACTCAGACTTGGGCAAATATATCGGCATAAACACTGAAAAATGCTGTCATTGATATTGTTATTGTAATCATAATAATATTTATTCGGTAAAAGCAAGATACAGGTACAAATATCACATATGATCACAGATTTCAATTGCATAATAATCACAGATATATCACAGTATTTAGATTATCACATCAAAGTTAAAAAAATCACAAATTTTGGAGCACTATAAATACAATGTATCTGTTTGACTAAGCTTTAACCTAGGATATCCCATGAAAGCTGTGTGGCAGCTTATTTCCAATGGGGTCCTCTAGTATAGATCTTAATTACTTAGATAACAAAAGGTCCTAAGGATTTGACCTTATAATATGAATATAAGATGGTATAATTTCTCGTAATAATATATATATGAATAGAATAAGTTGTAATTGGTCAAATATGATGATGATATATTATTTCATCAAAATAAGATGTTATTTTATTTGACGGTATAAGATGGAGTTGTCATTAGCAAATATGATTTCCTTCTGATAATATATATATGTGGGGCTATGCATGATGTTGTTTCCACTTGTAATATTAAAATATCAGTTATATGTATCACTGTACATATCATAATGCAAGATGATGTCATTCTTGCAGATATTAAGTAACAATATAAGATGGTGTTAGGCCATATACATTTATACTGTGGTACTTGTGTGTAGAACAGACAACAGGTGGTTGGGCAATCCCTACCAACCTATTATCTGTCTAACAAATTATAGTAATTTGGGGTATAATACATATATAAAAATGACTTTTAATAAGATAAAGACTGAGGATGATGGTAATAAAATCTTCCATAACATTTATAAAAAGTACATCAGTACATTTCACCTAATATCACGTCTGTTAATGTCACTTTTCGGTTATTATCATGTTTTTTTGATGCACCGTTTTTCCTGCTATATAATCTATGCAATTCAATTCTTTTATTATCACTTGATTTTATGTTGATTTCTCTTAATATCACTTTATTTTGGCCACTGCCACAAAAAAAATACAGGTAAATGGTGGTAATGATTCATGATAAATGCCCTGGGGACCTTCTGTCACACCCTGGACGCATTATGTAAACAATGCCTTGGCCTAACAGGGTATTTTTTACACCTGGCTGACTGTCAAACAATAGGTTACACCTGGCTGACTGTTAAACAATAGGTTGACTTACATACTTGTTAACATGATATTCACCTGTGGTTGGGGGAGCTAGGACAGTCTAACATCTGTAAACTTTTCTAATGCCAAGTGTGATGTATTCTTTCAACTAATTATAACATGTGTACTATCTTCGATTACACACTTGCAGCAAATATCTAAGGAAATTAACCCATAAAAAGATGTTACTAGAGAAAGAACAGTATATATATCAAGATATAGGTAAATATTTACCAAGTCTCATGTTTACAATTGAATTTGATGCAGAATACCAGCCAAACACTTGTATGCCTACATCACTACTGCAGTAAACAATCATAATTACAATCGTACTGATCGTCATTTTGCTACTTAACAATATGAAATGTAATTACTGCGTACTGAAATAAAATACAAATAATAAATTTATTTCTATACTTATATCTATATTTCAACTAGGGTAACGAACAAGGTTAGTTACAAAATATCAATCTTCATAGAGCCACATCACTTAGGCATTTGACTAAGTTCACTTCCGGTTTTGAGGGTTGAAAAACATCAGAAAATATGTATTCTGTTTATGTCATGTTTCGGTTAATATCATGTTTTTCTCTGACAAATGGGAAGTGATATTAAGAGGAATCTACTGTATTATATTGGTACTTTAGTTAAAATTTTGGTAATACATCATATATTTTTAGAAGAAGTTTAGAGTCACCCACTGGGATAGAATAAAAATTACCTTTAGAAGACAAATTCTTGCTCAAAATCATTTTTTGCCAAATGTATTATCATCTGTATTATCATCTATATTAAAAATATTGAATAAATATAAAGTTATCCCAGTGCATTAATATTGCAAACTCTAATATGAAAACTGAAAAAATAACATGAATCAACAAAGGAAATACAATTTTCAATGCCGGTTGTAATTTCTAGATGTGTTTCACTTCCCTCGACAGTCGCACAAACTAATGTAGTGTAAAATACATCATGTTTATTTCAATTTGTTTTGCTGTTTGTCTGTTACATTAAACACATATTGAATTTGTGTGGCCAGCAGGGCTTATTCAAGACTGGTGAGTATGCAGAATTTGTCTTCAATACATGTGATCAGTTCAAGATGGCTCCAGAAGCTAAGTACCTTGCACTGGAAATATTTGATAGGTAAGCTTATTCCCCATAACCAAAAAGGTAGATTTAACAAGAATTGATAAGAACCTAGATTTGAAAATTCCACCAAGTTGTAGTCAAGGACTCAAAATGCAATATTTGGAACAATTTACATAAAATAGTTCGCTCAACAATTTGAAAAAAAAATAGAAAGTGTTTTTTCTTTTATTTCATTAATGGATTGTAATTTGCATGGCTGCTTTTAAATCAAAATAGCAAAAAAATCAAAAAAATCAGTCAATCAGATTTCCTACAAAAATCCTTTTTATAGCATATAGTACTGACTGACTTTTCTCTATGAATTCAACACAAAGGATTTTTTCCCCCTAAGAACAGATTGTCGCATATGTATGGCAATCCATAAAATATCACTTTGTTCTCATTTTCTTTTTGGTCCTTTAATTGCTTGTTTTATAAAGGTTGACAAGTTCATAAACATCCCCCAAGAATATGGATGAAAATGTAGTTTTTCACCTCAGGATTGAACAGAAGCAGCTGAGCTTATAATGTCTCTCAATCTATCTATCTATCTATTTGTTATGCCCAACAGAGACAAAAATGGCTTCAATGCGGAGGGGACTAATGTGATTTCATTTAAAACTAAATTACATGACATCAATATATACAAAGATATATGTATGTAGCTACTGAATCATAGTATAAAAAAGAAGAGCTTATTATGATGATATCTGATCCTGTTAGAGAAAGATCATATTTTTCGTAATATCTGTATTATAAATAAATAACAAAACGCAACACTCACAGATAATCTTTGAATCACCAATAATGAGTATTTTAATGACCAATCAGAATGTCGTTACATGTATTGAAACATATTACTTTATTTCTGTTTGCATTATGATAAGGTTTATGGTACACCACATCAAGGATTTATACAGCCATGTGATCCAGAGTGGAAGTAAACATTGTCAAGCCGACTGGAGGGCTCTTCTCGACAGAATCAAGAACCAGCTCAAACTTCGCGCCGTGTCCTGTTGTCAAATTGCTAGCAAGTTGACCTCACACTATAAGGTGAATGAGATGTCTTCAAAATTAAGAAATAAATGGTTTTGACTTTTAATATTTGGCACCTCACTTGAATTACTTTAGAGAATTACTGTATCGTAAATGAGGAGGAACTGGACTGGGTCAATCATTGGTGATAAGGTACCTGTATGATCATGTAACTCTGCTCATATTGGTTAGAGCATCTATCTAGAGTTAAAGGTCCTGAGTTTGAATCCCAGTCTGTCATTTTTGATGAGAGAAAATCAAATTACCAAGGACCATAGATATGTATTGGTTTTATAGACGAGTGTTAGATTTTATTTTTTGTATAGAAAAAGTCATTTAAGGCACTTTTTAAACTAACCTTGAGAAATTCATTTCTACATGAATCATATTTTCTATTCATACATACATATATTTTAGGTAGTGTCTGCATCGAAGGCCAGAAGGTTCCTCCGGGATTATTGTGGCCACCGCTACACTGCTGATGGTATCCTGCAGTCGGAGCTGAGAGTTCTCAAAACACTGAATTACAATGTGACTGTACCCTCTACTCTCACCTACATAGAGACTCTGCTAGAAATTCTAGGTATAACCTTTTTCATTTTGATCGAGTAAGGCCACGCAAAGTAACGTTTTGTTTGAGATTTTTTAATAGAGTATTTGATGGAACTTCTTTCACATGCAGAATCAGAGGACCCTTCTGAAACACCTGGTACTGTACTTTGTCAGTGGTCTATATAAGTAAATCTTTCCTTTGTCCATATTTTGCCATAGTTTTATTGAATATTGAATTATGATTTTGTTGAAACTTCAATATTCTCGAGTTGCTTTTTACATTGAAAGGCAACTTAGGCAAGTGGGATTCGTTTGACTTTATACTTTTGCATTCATTTATTTATAAATCAGTGTATGTACATGAAATCCAGAATAAAGCTCAATACTTTTGAAGTTATTAGCTAACTCTTTCTCAAAGAGTTGTCCTGGCACACCTTCCCTCATTTTCAGTAAAATATTTTCAGTTTTTCAACTTCAATATTTCTCAAATTGATGAAAAAAATATTGTTACATTTGTTCAACAAGACAAAAGGAATTATATGTGAGGATTGTAAAGACCAAATGTCAAGGCCACACAAGACTCTAAATTTAAGATTTCCTTACAACTACTTTCCGAGTTAATTCTTAAGTTCAGAAAAGGAGGGGGACGGTAGCTAAAATACAGTTTAGCTATTGCAGCATATGGATCTCTTGGTTCATTTGGTAAAATTTTAAATAAATAAAAAAATATATATATACAACATTTCATATAGCTCCCTATCTAGCTAACATAAGCCACTCTAAAGCGCTTAACAGTACATAGATATACAATTTTATACAGTCAATACAATTAGCATATATATTAATCAATACAATATTGAGGAATTCGCAGGAGCTGCCTTACCAGGCGCTAACTACTAGTCCTATGCCACCTGGCTAATATCTCCTTATATGTGTATGCCTGTGTGTGTGCTGAAGATGTATTGTGCATAAAAGAAATTGGTATTAAGTGCAGGCTGTACGTTTGTATTATCACTAATCAAAATTGAATTGCAGGAAAAGAAATTTTATATGTAAATATACATGTTATATGGAACACTGTTTCCCATGCAGGGTACAATGACCACGAGGCAGACGTGAAGGTTTATCATGCAGTAGCCATGCAGGTGTTGACTGTGGTTTACATCAGATACTCCGAAGTGTACAAACGCCTCTTTGAGGTAACAGGTCTCTCTCCACAATGCACAGACAGGTAACAATGTTTTCTGTTCATTGATTATTATATTCAAAGCATTAAAAGCTATTTCCCCCCTTTAATACCGAAGATTTATATATTTTGTTCATCATGAGATCAATTTGATTTTCTAGAATAAAGAGCTATCTAAATCTGTACTTACCAATCTCCCTATTTAGGAGGGATGCTCCCGATATGGACCCTAAAATTGTGCATTTTCAACCAGTGAATTTGGTAAACTATTCCTATATTTTAAGATCTGATGATTTCATCTAAAAGAACAGCCATTTAAAAGTGCTATTTTTCTCTTGGGTGAAAATACACACATTTTATTTAGCTTTTAATTCTGAGCACGCGTAACCTCGAGGAACCCATGGAAATTTTAAAAAGTATGTTAAAATAATTACCCATATGACATTCAAAAATAAGTTATTTTGTTTTCATTCGAAATTGAGCAAAAATTAGGATACTGCGCTCCGATTGATTGATGGTTTCTGCACAATAATTTTGTCATATGACTGGATTCTGATGAAACTTGGTCAGTAATATGTATATATTATACAATGATAAAGGCTTAAAGTTAAGCAAAATGTTTGCATAGTTTATTTATTTTATTAACATACTGCTATGCTACCTGATTGAAATTGGTCACCTGCACAAATATGACAGGATTCTGATGAAACTAAATTGTCAATATTTACACTTTGTCTTATAAGTGAAATCTGCCAGTAATTAATAAACAATAGAAATGTCTTTGGTTTTAATGATGTAAAATTAATTGATTACTGGCAAATGAGGCAATGAATTTCAATTTCTATCTCCATGGTTTGAAATATGTACGAAGGGAGGCTATTATTGCAAATCAATCTTTTTAAAGGTGCATTAATTAAAGGATGTATGGAATATATTATATTCCTTCAAATGGTCCTGTATAGAATTTTTTTCTCCTTTCACCATATTTCAGTAATAATTCTGAAGTTTACTGAGTAATACAGTACAAAGATTGTTTCTTCTCCTTACATTCCCCTATTTTCATACATTTTGATATAACAATTATGCATCAGAAGGATTTTAAGTAGGTCAGATTGGCATTGGACGGATATATATTGTTCTGACCTGCGATACTCTTCTTATAATCTGTGACTTGATAGCTCAGTTACAATACAATGTACAATACGTATATACATTCTATGACATACTTGTATTTTTTTTATCAAATTTGGTTTGCTTTGATTGTCTAAATTTCTGTAGGAAGAAGTACATGGCGGTAAAAGCTGACAAAATGCTGCTGGCGGCATCGGTGATAGTGTCCTCCGTGTACTTGGCAGATCAACTTTTGTCAGATAGGGTTTGTGTTTTACTATATATATATCTTTCACAAAATATTTTTCACTATGATTGTGCAAATTAGCTTGTACTGGAATCAACTCCTCCGTTTGTTTTTCTTAAAACTTTGCAGAATTTTTATGTCATCTTCACATTTATTAGACTTTGGTAATATTTCTTATTAAGGGCTATTCCAGAAATTATTAATATATGCGGGGTAAGAACTGAGGCACAAAACATTTACAGCAACTGAATTCAATGAAGAACAAAGTCAGTGATAGGGTTTATTGTCGTTTTAACAAACAGTTAGACATCAGAATTGATAACGTTTGGTGTACAAATGTACCCTTTTTTGGTCCTCATGTTTAAAATAACTTAATGTGTTTTCATTTCACTTCATTCCAAATTTCAGTAATAACACTTACCGTAAACAGTAACTGTTTCCCAAATTCAGGATTATTACCTATATGCAGGCCTGGTTGTGTCCATCCTGTTGATTGCAGTGTGTGAAAAAGTAGATTATATAGTTCATTTCTCAATGTTGTCAATTTTCAATCTCTCTATTACTATAAGTCAGATTGTAATGTCAAATTTCCATGAATTATTGGTACCTGCGACCACATGCAGACTTGCTAAAATGTTTACTTCTGATGCAAGTTCCATGCACACCATCAAACTACTTTGCAAACATGATAAAATTAAAAACGTTCCTTAGGACATGTTTGTTTGTTGGGATGTGTGTGTTACCTACCATGAAAGACAGTAATTATGGCACATTGAAGGCCATTATTGGCCAGCACCTGGCTCCAGATTTGACTCCGTCTTGATTTTCACTCATGTGCAATGAAACAGAAGCAAACCTGGGTTGCCTCCCTTCTATTGCTGCGTGGATGACAATCGTTGGGAATTTAACACCAGTACACTACCACTTTTTTTTTAGTTTTCATGATAAGTCACCATAGCTGTCAACCCTCCCTCATTAGAAGGGAGACTCCCACATTTTGACCATGATTAACAAATCTCCATCAAAACTACCTCATTCAAGTCCAAACTCACACAAACTCAAAATCTACACCCTGTTGTCAAATGATCTCCTAGTTACTGCAGGGTGTGTGTAATGACCATAACGGGTGTGTCTCAATAATACTTTTCTTAGTTACTTTGATACATAAAAAGGGAAAGATAAATTGAACAAAGCAGTTTCAGTCACATTTCACGCACTTTCTTCCTCATTGGAAATGTGGAATGAGGGAGATCTCCATCATTGGAGGTGTCAGAGGTTGACAGCTATGAGTCACCCAAAATAACAGTGACAAAGGTATCTAATCCCCCAACCAGAATGGAATTTCATTACAAATTACATATATATTTAATCAATGTTAGCCAAGTTATTCTATGTAAAATTTCATGACACTGCTGTGAAATGTTTTAAAAGAATTAATATCTTGACTTCCTAACTGCTTGCAGACAAAATAATAATAATAGAAATTTAATTCTAAGGTTCTCGTATTTATTTTACAGATAACGGACCAGTTAAGCAGAATAACCCACATACCATGCGATGACATAATAGACCTAACCTCGGTCATAGTTCAATTGGTCTCGGAAGACAAATAAGATGAGGTTTATATTGATTCCAGCTGGATATGGAATGGTTTTCTCTTAAGAGTACAACATCAAGGAATGATTTTAGCATCCAGATTAGACAGTTTGGACAGCAAGGAATGGCAAGAAAACTGTGATAATAGGGCTATTGAATACTAATAAAAACAGTGATGATGAGTGCTTACAGAAACCTGTTATTGGAGACGAGGGAGAGAGTTTGATATTGTGTTGAGATAGATAGGCAGATATTTAACTTTGGAATCGACTGCTGTATGAAAAAGAAGGGAAATTGCGATTTAAATGAGCAAGTCTAGTGTTGGTAAACAATTCTGTTTATAATTTTTCTCCCATTTCCAAAAATTATTAAAACCAAACAAATAGACTTGTCATATTGTGTATTTGCAATTTTCCATTGCCCATCAATGACTATGCTTTCATTTTCTTAATTTGTATAAAAAGAAATGGGAGGAGGGCAGAGGGTTGCTATTGGATGCATGCTAGCTACAATTTGATATTGGATGCAAGCTTGTTACAGTTTGATATTTGTTAAAAGCTAGGTATAGTTTAATATTTTAGGCTATTTACACCTAGGAACAATAGATGCTGGATGTGAGCTTAACTTACAACTTGATATTGAATGCAAGCAAGGAACAATTTGATATTTGTTTCAAGCTAGATACAATTTGATATTGGATGCAAGTCTTGAACAGATTGGTAATTTTTTGGCTCGTTCAACAAGTTTGAAGCCAACATCAGGACCATTTAGTCACTCTCCGCCCTGGGATGAGATGCTCTATATTTGCCCTGACTTATTCCCGGATAGCCTACAAATGCAGATATTGGATACAAGTTACTGATAGTTTGATATTGGATGTTATCTAGTTCAATTTTGGATGCATGATATTGGGTTCAATCTAGTTACATTTTGATATTGGATTGAAAACTTATTAATTAATTGTTGGTGGCTTGACAGGAATATTTTGTTACTGTGATGAGCTGTGTAGTTTTATATTGGAGACTAGCTAGGTATTGAATGCTAGCTGTTGATACTAGGAGGCTGATCTAGAAAGTATAGAAAGAAATGGGTGTTGTCAGGTAGGTATGTAAGAGCAAAAAGAAATAGTTTGAATGCAACTTGAAAATGCTTTATAAATCACATATTGTTACTGATTGCATTTTGATTGTGAACAAAAATACTGATACAGGTTTTGATTGTATTCTGCTGTCTTGTTTTGAAATATTGAATTATGAAGGGGGACACAGCGGCATTTATAACTGATAATATATGAGTAGAAGGGTCAAAGATAAATGTTAACTGTTAAGACTGGTAAAGTCGAAGGCAAAAATAACTGAGGGTTGCGGTCACCTAGATGGTGCCACCATGCCACCTTCCTAATATTTCCTCAACAGCTCTAACAAAGTTATCTGTGATTATTATGAATGAGTGATGCTGTTCATTAAACTATTAATTCATTCTGGAAGGACAGGTATGTTTATGTTATATATGATTAGTCAATAGTTAGCTTGGTTTTTTTTGTTTGTAGGCAGAAGAGTATTGATGAGCATTTCTCCCATTCTATACGTAATATAAATTTATGATAGGTTATTGAATAATCATTGAATAATCAAAGACCTAAACTCAAATAATCTACAGTTTCATTAAGTTTTCAATGTTATAAGTTTAGAAAAATCTTTGTGAAAAAGCATGGTTGTAATGTCATACACTTGATTTCTAAATCTTGTTGATCGAGACTGCAAATATTTAACATTCTGTATGGTAATGCTAATAAACAATTGTAAATTCATCATGAACACTTATCATATTTACAGAAAAGGAAATGGTATGATTTACCATCAGTCCATGGACAATGTTTCAAAAGGATATTTGTGTGTGTGTTAATCTTCCACTCGGACTACCCTTATACAGACATTTGTTTTAGTACCACGTGACTGATGGTAGTAGTGGATTTCCGCTGAATTTTGTTTTGCAATATCACCATATTTTCGATACAAATTGATTATATAAGTGACGAAATATTAAAAATCAGTTTTACTCGTAGTCTCAACCCACGTAGTATGAAACCGTTGTTAAAGCTTAATTACACAGATGCATGTTTCTATAATGAATTAGAATCATCTTCTATTTCGGTTTTATTGACAACTAGGTCGTTGTGCAGCTTACAAAATCGACAGGACTCAGCTTAAAGCCAATCGAAATGCAATAAAAATGACAATCAACCTCCGTATTTTATTGCCGCGTTTTTAAGATGCAAAACAATTATATGGTTATAGTAATCAATGCCTAAAAAAGTCAAGAGGGACCTTATATAATCGATTGCTTAAAATATAATAAATTGTTATATACCGGTAGATACCATTTTTCTTGTAAGAAGACAAACACGAACATATCGCAGCCTCCCAAAATACACACACATACACTACACGCATGCATCTTGCACACAGGGGAGGCCGTCCTTAAATGACCTTAGCTGTAAATAGGACGTTAAACAAAATCAAACAAACAAACAAACAAAGATACCATTTTGTTGTCTGTCAGATTTTCGAGTAACCGGTTTCTAAAATTCGTCGGGTTTCACAAACCTGATAATGGATATTAGAAAGCGTAATTTTTTATACTATTTATAGTTTGAAAATTATTGTTAAACCGAAAATTAAAATAATGTGATCTATCATTCAAATTCAGTTTTATCCTTTTAAGCCTCGCATCTTCTTGCTTTGCGGTATTGTTATATATTTATTCTCGGTTCATACGATACAACATGTACACAAGTGTATGTATAAAAACATCCGAAGTGTTTTATTTTATATATTATTTTGTATTCCTTTGTGTAACTGTTTAACTCGAGAGAAACAAAAATTGGGAAACAAAAACCAATGACACTACACTCTTGGGTTGGTGCGAATTTGTATTTATGTAACGGGTTACTGTTCATTGCTGTGATTGCCAGACCAATATCAATGTTAATAAGATCATTATATCATGAGATGTGTTGTTGACATGAGGTGATATTAAACACGTTCTCGAAATGAATGTTTATTGATTTCTTTATTATATCGGGAACCTTGCTGGTTTTGATGTGTTTTATGTATTTTATTTATATTTCTGAACGCTTTTATGTAAAAAGAATATTTTTGTTAACTGATAACTATAAAAAAATAACAATGAAGTCATCTATACAGTGAGCAATGGTGCTTTCATTGTGGAAAATTTGTACTTTTTAGCGAATGTTGTTTACAGCAGTATCATCATAATTAAATATATGTTATACATGATATATAGGTTGAATAGATGTCTGAATTATATCTCAGTATGTCTTGAATGTCCACGTACCTTTTTTGTTATTTTTTTTTATGTGTGGAATAAAAATAATATAGTGAATAGTATAGAAATTATCATTTTCAATGCCATCACATATGTAGATGATTTGTTCTCCTTTCTCCCACTTTTTTCTGATCAAAGGAATTATATAAACACTGGAAAACAATAGATGTGTCATTACAGTCTGTTCTGGTATAGCACAGGTAGATTATTTACCTGTACTTACCTGTTCACCAATAGGAAATACTGTGTTAGTTATAGGAATATTTAACAAATATATTTCCTGATTTTCTGGAATTATAAATAATTAACAATATTCCAGTTATTACTTAATAAAAACACATCAAAATACATTAACTGAAAACCTGCTTTTATTAATTTCATTTTTAATCAATTTTATACATTTTTACTATACATACTAAGTATGTTATATATATATATTTCATAAAATAGAACTCAATTTAGCAAGCAATTTATGACAAATATAATCAGTAAAGAAGTGATCATGTATATGCAAAAACAGATGCAAAACTGGGAATGAAAATAAATAAAACAAATTAATTACATCTACACATGGAATACTTAGCACTACACGTAGTTGATCAAAACAACCATATCCATAAAATGCACAAAGATACATGATAGAAAACTATTATAATAGCACTAACTTACTTAAGATGAAATATTGGAAAGTCAATAAAAAGCATAGATAATGAAAATTCCATAATTTTAAGAAATCCTAACAAATCGCCAAATAAAAATTCTATAACAAACACATTTATCACAATGTAAATGCAAAAGATGGGATGCTGTGTCGGCGTACTGGATTACATCTTGTGTACCATTCCCCAAGCGTTCCTTTCGTTGGTTAAGGCGGCTGTCGATGTTACAGTAGCGTTTTGCTCTTGGTCTGAGTTGTCCCCCTGCTGCGTGCTGGAATTTCCTTGAAGATGCGGATGATGCTGTAGATGTTGGGGTGGGCGTGTTCCACTTTCTTCTTCAGTTTTCTGTGCCATCCCTCTATGTGGTTGGTAGTTCTGGGTCCCTCGGTCTCAAAGTAGTTCCAGAGTTGTTGATCTCGGTCAATCCACTGTGTCACGACGTAATTTGTATATGGCGTGGTGTCCTGTGGTACATCTGGGTCCACTTTCCCTCTAGGTTGATGTCCTGAATGGTCCTGGGTAGCTGAGGAGTCCGAGTACGTCGAGCGTTATACAGTGACTTCTTAGTGGACTGGAAGGTGGGTAGATGTCTGACTGTGTTCTCTGCGTCGTCGTTCCAATCATCGGATCGAAGTTTGGTTACCTCCTCATCGTAGATTCTGGGAATTGGTTTCACTTCCTTCACGCAGCTTGTACGAATGGTCTCCATCATCTCCCGGGCGACGATCTTAGCATGGTCATGTGGGTGGTTTTGGGGATGGCGGCCGTTTCCAGTACGGATGGTGTTTAGGGTACTAAGGGTAGATGGACAGTTGGGGATGGTACATGCTCACCAGTAAAGTGGTCAGTTGATGGACCCAAGCCATCAGGTGTTAAGATTCATTATCATCAACTAGAAATATCAGTGGACCCAGGCCATATGGGGTTATCAAATAGAAACATAACTAATGATTATGTTTTAGGGGAAAATAATCTAATGAGTGATACTAAGTTATAAATAATTACACTGAAGACGCATTTATTGGTAAAAAAAGATTTTCTGAAAATAATGCTCCAATATGAATTTGTTTTCACCCTAAATTAAATCAATTTCAATTAAAATTTTAATTAATCAAAGCATTATCATCTTTATATATACTATTAAGTATATAAAATATTTGTGGATTTCACGTTATTGTTTTGTATAGATGAAAATGGTATATAATATGAAAAAAATAGCTAAAAATTATGAAAATAGACTATATCAAAGCTACATGTAAATGACAGTACTGTATCTATGATACAGGTAATGTGGGAGAACACAGGTAAAAACCAGGTAAAATATATATGAAACAGACTATAACTGCTATCACAACATTACTGCCTCTATGGGTTTTTTAAAAGTGGGAGAAAGGAGAACACACCATGTAGGTTATGCGATGGCTTCTTGGGCAAAACGTTCAGAGCTAGAATACCTTTGGCATAATATTTAAAATAATGTATTTGATAGGAATGGATATAGATAAAACAAGATGCAGCAAATATAATAGAACAATGCAAAAAGTACGTCGTGGATTCACGTGATGTTTTTGTGAAACGGACTATAAGTAGAGGTCATGATGGTTTACCTATGATGTAGCTTCATTTATCAGTAAAGTTAGCTTTATGATAAATACTCATTACATATTGATTAATATTCATTACTATTGATTACAAACTGGTACATGCTATTGAAACAACTTTTTATTCTATATATCAAATGATATTCTCATAAATTCGATCACAGAAATGTATGTCAAATTAAGACATTATCATTTCCCCAAAAATCTTGCGTTGGAATGAAAGTTAATTATACCTTTAAGTCTGTGAATATCATGGCCCGCCTAGAAGATATATTGGTTGACGTAGTGTGACGTACATTAAACTCCCACACTGCTAACTTAAACGTGACACATAAAATATAGAGTTTCCTGATTTATATAATAATTTTACACATGAATAGAAATCGTAACACCTTTTTGTTTAACCCTTTCATCACTGTATCACCCAGATAAATGTATGATATAATCTACTAAAGTTACCTAGGGCTGAAAGGTATAAAGTATGAAGTAGGTTGTTTTCTTTAATTAAAGTTAATACTCTCTAGTCATTTCTAATACCATGTATTTGCTTGTAAATATTGACAATACGTTACAAACGTTACACATACTAACACTGCCAAGTGCTATTATTTGTTGTTATTTTTGCTTTTATTATGTAACATTCCATGTTTTACAGACGAGAGAACACAGTATATGATGAGATGTAGTTTCATACTCTAAGCAACACATTAAATTGTTACTCATTGTAAGATGATACATATATTATACATATTATACTAAAGTCGATAATGTTTTTGTGATCATATCCGTCTTTGTTTCTTAATAATATACACATACGCATGATGAAATACATGTTGTGACCATATTAGCTTATGTCTAGAGAAGCGGCTTGATGTAAGACTTCAAGCCTTCTCACAAATCTCTTTGCTTCGTTGTAAATTGTGATTCACTGTTGCTAAATGATGTACTATGAGTAATATCGTATAAATCACTTTAAACCTTTTACAATTGGACAAAAGTATATTTCCGTCAACAAGAGGGTAACCACACCGGAGTTGCCCTGTCACAAAAAGTATATTGATCATCAGGTTCAAATCCTCAATGAAAAAAACACCTGAACGCGCATGCCTAGTGTTGACAATGACACATGCAACAGGTATTGCCACAGTCAGTTTATTTTACTTGTGTTATCCTTTCGACTTGGTAACACTTATTACTACTAGTGTAAAACATGTTAGTCCTGGTCAGTTTAATTGGATATATATGGCTGATATCACACTTGACGGAAGGACAATGGATTGAGGAAGAAATTACACGAGTAGATAATGGTCAGAGAAGTATTAGTTTGAATTTAGAAGATTTAGAAGTCCTCCGGCGTGACATGATTGGTGTTTCAACCGACATTGCAAAACTAAGTGAGTATATTCAGCACAGCACCATTCTAAATCTTGGTATATTTGTCTTAAATTGCTTGATTTATATAGTTGTCAACTTGGGATTTGTACCATGTTGTTCGAAACTAAGTTAGTTATAGGTAGCCAAACAAACACTAACATTTTCTTCGGGTTGGTAAGTATGGATTATGAAAAGAAATGATTCTTGTAACACAACCAATAAGTTTTTCTATGTGACGTTTCGATGACTAGTACGGTATGTACTCTGTCATTTTCATCAGACAAATTACCAGTGAAGCGTATGTACTCAAAGGTGTAAAATGTGTATGAGTTGTCCACAAATCGGTGTGGATTTGACTATGCGGTAAGCTAAATAGAGACGAGGGGGTTCATAGACTCTAGCACATCTATGACCAAGTATCAAACAAAGCGTAGCTGAATCGAGTCATTTCACATATATAACAACTATTGTGCATACGCTTACAGCGTAGTGGAATTGACATCGATTTGTGGACATACGCTTCAATGGTCATTTGTCTAATGAAGGTGACAGAGTGCATACTGTACAAGTAATCGAAACGTCACATAAAAACACTTATTGGTTGTGTTACAAGAATCTTTTCATAATAACCTTAATGTTATACAATGAAGAACTTAAGAAGAGCCTTGATCGACTTGAATTTTCATTTATCTGCGAGATAAATCGGACGAATTTCCTTTTATCCGTTGATGTCACCAGATCCTGGCGGCACTAAACCATGTAGCTCGGAAGAAACAGTGAAATGCCATTTTTGCTTTGACTGCTACTTGGAATATAAAACATGATGGTCAAGCAATGCAAGGTTTGTCTCGAAATAGACATGCTTTATTTAGAAAGAAAATATTATACATACCTCCTCCACTGTCGTCACGTTAACTGTCCATTACCATTGTCGTACGTGCTTGATTTAAACAGATTATATTTGCAAAAATTCAAAAGGGATTACACACAAGTAATCAAACTTGAATTTTCTTCTCCTTTCAAACAATAATGATGATATATTAATACGGCTGCAAAGTAGAAAACATCGAAAACTTAGATGATTCCAAAGGAAACATAGATATGATAAAATGTACAATATACAAATCTAAAAGATTTTTATTTTTGTACTTTATGTACCCTTACATGTCGTATTAACCTGTATATAATATAAGCATACGTTGTAACATTACTAAAAACAATCTATAGTTCATGTTTTCATAATGAAACTTCTGTCAATGATACATATCATGTATTCACATAAACAAGCTTTGAAATCAACCTGCATGTTTCAACACCGTAGCAGCTTGATAACGCAGCAGACCGCATCACACAATGGTCACATCCGTGAAGCTTTATTTAAAACGCACCACATCACATGCTTGCACTAATCACCACAGCACGTCAGCGTGTGTCAATATTTCAAAGGTAAATGATCCATGACTTCGTGATATTCACTATTTTAAACTGTTTATTCTTACTCTTTTTGCAATTCAATGCTCGTGGAAGATGAACATATTATTCTATCAGTTTGAGCGCTTAAAAGAACCTTCAAAGTATTCATTCTCGAGAAACAAGATTTGGTAAAAAGCCAGTAGGGCAAATAAATGTGATAATTGCATCAAATGTGTTAACCATGTTTCAAAGAGGAGGGGGATTGTTTTACATTATGGGCGGATTGGTCTGTTTTGTAGCATTTAAGTGAGGTGGCATTATAAATTATACCATTGGAAGCACGGTCCCACTACAAACAGAACAAAACACATCTCCAGCACACACGAAGGCATACACACATAGGGAGATATTAGCCAGATGGCATAGGACTAATAGTTAGCGCCTGATAAGGCAGCTCGTGCGAATTCTTCAATATTGATTAATGAGTATGCTAATTGTATTGATTGTATGAATTGTATATCTATGTACTGTTTATAAAGCGCTTTAGAGTCGCTTATTCTAGCTAAATAGGGCGTTATATCAAATATTGTATATTTATTTATTTATCTATGTTTACTTACAGAAGCTATCAGTGGCTCCCCTAATACAGGACAGTCCATCCCAGATCTTATTGGTGACATGTTGTGCTCAGCTTGTTCTTTACTTAAGGATGTAGCCAAGAGACAGAAATGTCGAACGCGATACTGCCATAGACCTAGCCAATCAGTCATTCACAGAACGTTCGGAGGAACATATAGGAATACGCGCAATTACATAAGTGGAATGCGCAGAAGAATGGTCAGGCAGAATAATGCCCGGATGCGAAGGATGCAAATCAATAATCGATATTAGAAGGGAACACAAGTATTGAACATGAATCGAATGTTTTGTTATATCTGTGATACGTCTTGCACTGGGAATCGCTTTCATAAGAAACAAACTTTGCAAAATATAATATAAAACTGAACAAAAACACAGGTTATTCCAGGAGTGTCTTAACGTGAAGACGATTGTATGTGTGTCACGGAGTGAGTAACGATATGAAAAGAAAACTTTGTTGAGTGTATAATAAAGAAGATATGGGAAGGTGATCTGAACGTGTTAGAAACACATTTTTGAGAAAAATGTGAAACATGTCTTGACCCTATCAGAACATGTTTTTTTTAAAGTAGATGACAAAAAGAGAACTGATACTCAAGTTAATAACTCCAGTGTCTTAGGAACATGAAAGCATGAAATAATACAACTAATCCCAGTTAAATCTAGCTACTTCCACATACATTAGACTTCATATTTATTTATTTATTGCAGTGTCATAATTGTTATAACATTAAAGTTATGTTTTCTTAGTTGCATGCGTTGTTAGTTTATAATACATTCAATTTGAAAAGGAAGTTCGATTTTTATTTCAATTTCGTCTCGGCGATCACAAATTCAACTAATCATACTTATATTTCCGTGACCAAACCTTTTAATATACGCACCTGGAATTGATTTTTGTATGGATTTTTTTTAATTTTTCAATATATTTAAATAACAACTACTCAACTTCCCTCGTGCCATTTTCCTAACGCAATCTCAAATATAATCGGCCGTGGCCGATAGTGACAATCATCCGAACATGTTATTGTGACTTCTGATGAACAGCAATTGTCCAGACAGACAGCACCGAAATAAACTACAGACGTATGGAATTATTTTTACATGGCGTCTGAAATGTTCCCAATCTCCACGCAGAGTTACGGTCCTTGCACTCCCTTAAATCTCTGCCAACGTCAAAAAGTAGTCCCGAATCATATGACCAAAATATCATGTGATCCATCGTACAAAATGGCAGCCTCCGTAGAAAACAATATCAGTGGCGGATCCAGAGGGTTTTTTGGGCTTCATGACACCCCCCCCC